GCCGAACGGCCGACCTTTCTGATCGACAAGCTCAGCGTCTTAGCCACTGAGCCACCTATTCAGGCACTATATCGGAGGATATTCCAGTTCTAATGAATTCCAAAGAGGATGGTACCCGAGTGAACTCTGAGATTGGGGGGGGGTGTCCACCACCCATGTGTTTTCTTGGCCAGCGTCTCTTAATGACACGTGTGTGTATGTGTGTGTCGTGCACACACCTTCCTGGTCAGTGTGAAGACTCCTGAAGATTGTCGGCATAAGTCCCTGCAGTTTTCTTAATAAGGTTTTCAGCAAAGTTTGCCATTGCCTCTTTCTTTGGGTTGAGACAAGAGTGACTGGCCCAAGATCACCCAGCTGGCTTCCTGCTAAGGTGGAACTAGAACTCACAATCTCCTGGTGATTGGCCCAAAGTCACCCAGCTGGCTTTTCCTATCTAAGGCAACACTAGAATTCACAGTCTGGTGAATGGCCCAAAGTCACCAAGCTGGCTTTCACGACTAAGGCAACACTAGAATCACAGTCTCCTGGTCAATGGGACAAGTCACCCAGCTGGCTTTCCTGCCTAAAGCAACACTAGAACTCACAGTCTCCTGGTCAATGGCCCAAAGTCACCCAGCTGGCTTTCCTGCCTAAGCAACACTAGAACTCACAGTCTCCTGGTCAATGGCCCAAAGTCACCCAGATGGCTTTCACGACTAAGGCAACACTAGAACTCACAGTCTCCTGGTCAATGGACAAAGTCACCCAGCTGGCTTTCCTGCCTAAGGCAACACTGAACTCACAGTCTCCTGGTGAATGCCCAAAGACACTCAGCTGGCTTTCAAGCCTAAGGCAACACTATACTCACAGTTCCTGGTCAATGGCCCAAAGTCACCCAGCTGGCTTTCCGACTAAGGCAACACTAGAACTCACAGTCTCCTGGTCAATGGGACAAAGTCACCCAGCTGGCTTTCCTGCCTAAAGCAACACTAGAACTCACAGTTTCCTGGTCAATGGCCCAAAGTCACCCAGCTGGCTTTCACGACTAAGGCAACACTAGAACTCACAGTCTCCTGGTCAATGGACCAAAGTCACCCAGCTGGCTTTCCTGCCTAAGGCAACACTAGAACTCACAGTTTCCTGGTCAATGGCCCAAAGTCACCCAGCTGGCTTTCACGACTAAAGCAACACTAGAACTCACAGTCTCCTGGTCATGGCCCAAAGTCACCCAGCTGGCTTTCCTGCCTAAGGCAACACTATAACTCACAGTCTCCTGGTCAATGGCCCAAAGTCACCCAGCTGGCTTTCACGACTAAGGCAACACTAGAACTCACAGTCTCCTGGTCAATGGGACAAAGTCACCCAGCTGGCTTTCCTGCCTAAAGCAACACTAGAACTCACAGTCTCCTGGTCAATGGCCCAAAGTCACCCAGCTGGCTTTCTGCCTAAGGCAACACTAGAACTCACAGTCTCCTGGTCAATGGCCCAAAGTCACCCAGCTGGCTTTCTGACTAAGGCAACACTAGAACTCACAGTCTCCTGGTCAATGGCCCAAGTCACCCAGCTGGCTTTCACGACTAAGGCAACACTAGACTCACAGTCTCCTGGTCAATGGGACAAAGTCACCCAGCTGGCTTTTCCTGCCTAAAGCAACACTAGAACTCACAGTCTCCTGGTCAATGGGACAAAGTCACCCAGCTGGCTTTCCTGACTAAAGCAACACTAGAACTCACAGTCTCCTGGTCAATGGCCAAAGTCACCCAGCTGGCTTTCCTGCCTAAAGCAACACTAGAACTCACAGTCTCCTGGTCAATGGCCCAAAGACACCCAGCTAGCTTTCATGACTAAGGCAACACTAGAACTCACAGTCTCCTGGTCAATGGCCGAGTCACCCAGCTGGCTTTCAAGACTAAGGCAACACTAGAGTTCACAGTTTCCTGGTCAATGGGACAAAGTCATTGAGCCAGCTTTCCTACTAAGGCAGGACTAGAACTCACAATGGCCTGGTGAGTCAACCAAACCAGGGGGAAGCTGTTCTCAATGGCTATTATCATTTTTTATTTATTCTTTCCCCCCCCCAAAAAAAAAAGGAAAACAGTGGAGAACTGCAGGATTTTAACAGAAAAGAGCAAAAGAGAGAAATACGATCATAATTCTGCTACTTTCTTTTTGGAGTCCTAACCTCCATGGTTCCCCTCCACTTGGCTAGGGACTTCTGGGAGTTGGAGTCCGCCCTACTTAAAGCTGGTGAAGCCGTGAACCACTAACACCGATGATTTAAAGACGGCCCAGGCGAATGAATTCAGTCTAAAAACCCCGTATCTAAAACATCTCCGAGAACCCTCCTGCCAAGGCGTGTGTGAAACAGGAAGCGAGCTGCTTTTTTTTAAAAAAAAAAAATTAAAATAAATGCGACATCAGCAGTTCTGTGTCTCCAGGGGTTGTGTGTGTGAGAGAGATTGTATAAGCTACAAGACAAGGCCATTGATGCTTATTCATTAATTCCATCTTTCTCAACTTTGGTAACTTTTAAAGATGGGTGGACTTCAACTCCCAGAATTCCCCAGCCAGCCACGGCCTGCTGGGGAATTCTGGGAGTTGAAGGCCTGTATTTTAATATTGCAAATCGTTGCAAACTATAAATACTGGACAGTGGTCTAGCATCCAAATTTTTGCTACGTGACCACGGAGAGGCTGAAAGGGTCATAAGTGTGAGAAATGTCCCCAGTCTTTTTTTTTTTGTGTGGTCCTAACTTCGAAACGGTCACTAAACAGATGGCTGTAAGCCTATTCTATTCTATTCTATTCTATTCTATTCTATTCTATTCTATTATTCTATTCTAATCTAATCTAATCTAATAATCTAATCTAATCTAATCTAATCTGTAATCCTGTTTCTACTCTTCGGCGATTTTCAGACCGTTTCTCCCCATCCATCCTCTCTCCCGGAAGCCTGCATCCGTCCTCGCCTGCCTGCCGTCCATCTGGACGGCCGGTGCGACAAGGCCCTGAATGAGCCCACACCCCGGTCCAGTTGCCTGCCATATGACGCACCGATTGTGGCCGCAGGAGAAAGGAAAGCTTGCAACCCATGGCCATCAATGGCTCCCTTGTCTTGCGCGCACTGTGACTCCACACAGCTCCTGCCCAGCTGACGGGCAGAGTTGCAGGGCCCATCCGCTCACCCTGGGGAGGGGGAGCCTGTCTGTTCCCCCTCCCCTCCCCACTCCCCCACACAAAGGCCAGACTCTCCACACAACCCCAAAACCAGTTATCCCATCTCTCCTCCAATCAGGTTCCAGCTTAAATATACATATACATATACATATATATATATACATATACATATACATACATACTTACATACATACATACATATATATATATATATATATATGTAGGGTCTTTGGTTATTCGGGTCTTCTCCCACGTAAAATTGGAAGTGTCCAATTTTACGTGGGAGGAAGACCCGAATAACCAAAGACCTACATACAAACACCCGCGAAAACCTGAGAAAACATATATATGGGCAGTCCTCACCTTAAGACAACTGAGCCCAAAATGTAACATTTCTCACTTATTTGAAGTGAGAAATGTGCGAAGGGAGCTTTGTCCCATTGTACGGCTTTTCTTGCCGTAAAGCGAATCCCTGCAGTTCTTAAATTCGTGATGCGGTCGTTAAGCGAATTCCTTTCCCCACCCCCCCCAATCGACTTTGCTGGTCGGAAGATCACAAAAAGGGGTTTCCGGGAGCATCGAAACCGTCATAAATGCGGGTCCGTTGTCAAGCCTCCAAACGCCAATCGCGCGTGACCGATGCCGCAACGGTCACTAAGTGTGACAAACGGCCAGAAGTCGCTTTCCCTCCCCCGGTGCGGTGTAACTTCTAACAGTCACTAAATGAAGTGTTGTTAAGTTGTAAGACTACCATATATACATACATACATACATACATACATACATACATACATTACATACATACTATAGTTTGGAATGCAAATAGCAGAATGACATCTCCGTCCAGGGGAGGCAGCAAGCTTGCCCCTAGACGCCAACGGTGGCGGGGTAGGGGGGCCGAACCCCCAAATAACCACTGAGAATTTTGCTTCATGCCTCAACCCAGGATGCCCCCCCTCCCAAGTGGATCCCAAAAGACCCACCAGCGGCGTGCAGGGTCTCTTCCCTTGGAGCAGACTGAAGTTTCACTTTTTCCCAAGAACAGAAAGAGGAGGGGAGACCCCCCCAAGACCCCCGTTTTTCTCACCCCTCTCTGGATGCCTGGCGAGGCTCTTGACCCCAGATCACATGGGATCCGACGCCTGATCCTTTTGCTCTTTTTAGAAAGTCTCTCCTCCCATCCCCCGGTGGTTTTCAGCTTTGAACACTCCCCCCCCAACGCGGCTTTCCCAGGGGAAGGAGGGAGAGAGGGACCCCTCAGAGGTCATCAAGCCAGCCAGCCTTCCCTGCAACACGGGGCTCCTTCTCTGTCCCTCCGGGTCGATCCCATCCACACATGCAGAGCGGAAGAAAGCCGCCCAGAAGGGAAGCGAATGACAGGCCCGGCCCAGCAAGATTCCCAAAGATGCAAATAAAAAAAAAACAGCCCCACAGCGCCCTGTTTCCTGCTAGGGATCGCCCGAGATCCAGCCAGCCCGTCTGCCTGGGATCCTCCTACCCGATCTCCCGGGAAAAGGCTCCCGAGGGGGGGGGGGGCGAGGGAGCTTATAAACCCCACATATTGCCAGGCCTGCCCCATTGATCGCTGTTATCTCTCTTTTCTCCAAGGTTCCTCCCTAGGGACTAGCCGCTTAAATGGGAATTCTCCCCAGAGCTTCCACTTCGGGGAAAAAAAAAAAAAAGACGGAGGAGAAGAAAGAGGAGGAGAGGAAAGGGCGACCCCCCCCCCTCTCCCTCCTAACTAACCCTTCTCTTCTCCCCCCCCCATAGATTAAGGCTTCACCCCAAAAGTACCCTCGGGGGGGGGAAGAAAAAAAAAGAGGGGGGGCTCTGCCGTTACTCACCGCTCTGCCTCCGCTTTCCGACCCGGCGGCGGGGGGGTCCGCTGGCTGGGTTTATTCCATGCAACGGGGGATCGGGGCTTTGGCTGGGTGGGGGGGGGGGCGACCCCCGGATCTGGGCCGGGGAGATCCACCCGGGGGTGGGGGGTGGGATCAGCCAAGGGGGGGGGGCGGTGGGGGGGGGGTCGCCGGACCCGAGGCGGGGCAGGGGAAGAAGGTAAACGAGGGTGGAAGTGGGGGTGGGGGGGGTGGAGAAAAGGGAAACAATGTAGCCGCCGCGAACGTTCCAATTTCGAACGTTGCCGGCTTCGCTTTGGAACGTTGGCGCCGCCAAGATTCCGAGCGGCTTTTCGCGGGCGGGCGGGCGGGCGAGGCGGAGGCGGCGGGAGGATCCGGGTCGAGCGGTGGAGGAGGCGGGGGCGGCGAGGAGCTCTTTTTCTTCCCGTCTCTCTTTCCGACCCAGCCCCGCCGCTCGAGATCTCGCCGGGCCTGGTGCTCGCTGGCTTCCAGGGAACCCGAGCAGCCCGCCCGCAGCCCTACGGCGCCTGCGCGCTTGCCTGCCTTACCTTCCCCCCCCCCCTCCCCCCCCCCCCCCCCCCCCCCCGCCTCGCTTGCCCGTCTCCGCCCAGCGGCGGCGGTGGGGAGCTGGGCGAAGGGAGGGCGCCCCCTTCTGGACAGCGCGTGCTTTGTGCTAGAGCCTCTCTCTCTCTTTCTTTCTTTCTTTCTCTCAGTCTTTCTCTCTTTCTCTCAATCCCCCCTCCCTCTCAATCTCTCTCTCTGTCTTTCAATATTTATTGATTTCTTTCCATCTCTCTTTCTCAATCTCTCTCTCTCAATAGAATAGAATTCTTTATTGGCCAAATGTGATTGGACATACAAGGAATTTGTCTTGGTGCATACGCTCTCAGTGTACATAAAAGAAAAGATACATTCATCAAGAATCATAAGAATGGAATAGAATAGAATAGAATAGAATAGAATAGAATAGAATAGAATAGAAATAGAATTCTTTATTGGCCAAGCGTGATTGGATACACAAGGAATTTGTCTTTGGTGCATACGCTCTCAGTGTACATAAAAGAAAAGATACATTCATCAAGAATCATAAGAATGGAATAGAATAGAATAGAATAATAGAATAGAATAGAATAGAATAGAATAGAATAGAATAGAATAGAATTCTTTATTGGCCAAGCGTGATTGGATACACAAGGAATTTGTCTTTGGTGCATACGCTCTCAGTGTACATAAAAGAAAAGATACATTCATCAAGAATCATAAGAATGGAATAGAATAGAATAGAATAGAATAGAATAGAATAGAATAGAATAGAATAGAACAGAATAGAACAGAATAGGAGAGAGAAGAATAGGATGGGATAGGGTAGAGTAGAATAGAATAGAATAGAATAGAATAGAATAGAATAGAATAGAATAGAATAGAACAGAACAGAACAGAACAGAACAGAACAGAATAGAATTCTTTATTGGCCAAGTGTGATTGGACACACAAGGAATTTGTCTTGGTGCATATGCTCTCAGTGTACATAAAAGAAAAGATACATTCGTCAAGAATCATAAGAATGGAATAGAATAGAATAGAATAGAATAGAATAGAATAGAACAGAATAGGAGAGAGAAGAATAGGATGGGATAGGGATAGGGTAGAGTAGAATAGAATAGAATAGAATAGAATAGAATAGAATAGAATAGAATAGAATAGAATAGAATAGAATAGAACAGAACAGAACAGAACAGAACAGAACAGAACAGAATAGAATTCTTTATTGGCCAAGCGTGATTGGACACACAAGGAATTTGTCTTGGTGCATATACTCTCAGTGTACATAAAAGAAAAGATACATGCGTCAAGAATCATAAGGTACAACACTTAATGATAGTCATAGGGAAACAGTCAATATAAATCTTAAGAATACCAGCAACAAGGTTACAGTCATACAGGGGCAATTAACAGGATGTAATACAGGTAGCCCTCGATTTACAACAGTTCAATTTAGTGACCATTCAAAATTATAATGGCACTGAAAAAAGGGACTTGCTGGCTGGGGAATTCTGGGAGTTGAAGTCCACCCACCATAAAATTTGCCAGTTTTTTTTTTAAAAAAAACAACAACACCCATCTAAATTAGCCTCATCAAAACTGCACCGCTGGGTATTTCCTTTTGAAGCCTGTGGCTTTGCTTGCGGTGCAGCAGGTGTGTTTACTCATTTGAGGAAAAAAGATAGGCATCAAAAGATAAAAGGACTTTGTTTAAAAACTCCGGGTCTCTTCCTATGCACCATTTTTTGCAAGAGAAACACTTAAGCGGCTGAACAGAGCCAGAAGCCAGCTTGCTAGCCAAATAAGAGACAGAGCAGATCCCGATGTTAAGTGCCCGAAGATGGAATGTGGGTTTGTGCAGGCCTGCGTGTGGGCAAGACAGTGGAATTGGTCTGGAGTTTTGTCCCCATTCTGTCTTTTTTTAAAAAAAATCAATGTAACTTACAGTCTTCCCTCCCTTAGACTTATGCAAAATTAATCAGTGCATTCATTGTCCTAAGTCAACTTGGATTTATTTGTGGAGCGCAACTAAGAATGCCACATAAATTAATCATCACCATCAATATTTAATTTGGCAGTGACAAATGGGAGAGTCGGATTCACTTAAAGTGAATATTGAAGAAAAAAAAAAAAAACCAATTTCGTTTTTTTTTTGAACCGGAGGGAAAATGATACCACAGCACCTCCTACTGCACAATCACAACTTGGTGGTGTTTGGGGCAACCGTAAAGGCTGCTCTGTTGTGTCCAATATGGGATGTGTTTTGTGTGACATGAAGCGGACATAAATGCCAGCCGGTTTCCCAAAATGCAGTCCTGCAACCGGGGTGGGAATTTACTTTGGAGACTCCAAATCTGGGTCATAAGTCTCTTTTTTCAGGTTCCGTTGTTAAGTTGAGCACTACTTGTATATAATTTCTTGGAGCCCTTCATTGTTGTTTCTATTCCCAGACTTAATCAGAAAGCAGAATAGCCTGCAATGCCTCCAGCCAACCAGCCGGTGGCACTGTGGATCCAGTCTGGGAACCCAGGGGTTTGAACTGGTAAATCCGCCTGTTGGTCTTTCCAGGTACTTGATGCTAAAGAGGGAAGTTATAACAATGCCGCTCTTATTTCGAAAGGCGAGAGCTGAAAGGCGAGAAGAGGTAGATGTACCCATTAAGAGCTGGCATTGTGTAATTCCTCCTCCATCAGGCTGTCCCGGAGAAAAATAAATAGGTGAGAAAGGTTCCCATGGAGAAAGAAATAAGCACAATGGAGCAGGGGGTTGGATCAGTGGTGAAATCCAATTTTTTTTACTACTGGTTCTGTGGGCATGGTTTGGTGGGCGTGGCAGGGGAAGGATACTGCAAAATCTCCATTCCCACCCCACTCCAGGGGAAGGATACTGCAAAATCCCCATTCCCTCCCACTCCTGGGGGAAGGATATTGCAAAATCTCCATTCTTACCCCACTCCTGGGGGAAGGATATTGCAAAATCTCCATTCCCACCCCACTCTGGGGCCAGCCAGAGGTGGTATTTGCCGGTTCTCCGAACTGCTCAAAATTTCCGCTACCGGTTCTCCAGAACCTGTCGGAACCTGCTGGATTTCCCCCCCTGGGTTGGACTAGAAGACCTCCAAGGTCCCTTCCAGCTTTATTCGGATTGATTTTTCCAGTTGGCGCTCTTTGGGGGGCGGGCAGGCAGAACTGAGAAGGCAGGGGTGGGTCTGATTTGTGACCGCTTGACCTCTTTAAAGAGCACAAGGGAGAGCGTGACGTGAAGGCGTCCCAAGCACAAGGGAGCAGGCAAAAAAAGTAGATTGCAGACTTTTCTTTGGAAACTACGTCTGATTTAATTGCTTCTCAGACTTCAAAGCAAGATGCCCGGCGCACAGGGGGCTCTCCAAACTTGGCATCTTGTGGACTTCAATCCCCAGAATTCCCCAGCCAGCATGGTTGCCGGCATCGCTGGCTGGGGAATTCTGGGAGTGGAATAATAATAATAATAATAATAATAATAATAATAATAATAATAATAATAATAATAATAATAATAATAATAATAATTTTATTTCTATACTGCCCTTCTCCCGAAGGACTCAGGGCAGTGTACAGCCAATTTAAAAACACAAGACACAACAATGATTAAAAATTAAAATAATTAAATAGATTTGGCCGATTTAAAACCCCAAAAATTTAAAATACCCCAATTTAAAATTATTATGTTGATAGCCAAGTCCACCAACCAGTTTTTAAAGTTGCCAAATTTGCAGCAGCCTCTCTTGATTTCCCAGGATGCTTCTGTGAGCCCTTCTAAGCAGGAGGGCCAATAGCCACCTTGAGATGGGACAACTGGAAAGTGCCATCCAGCCCATCTGGAATACACACACACACACACACATCCCAAAAACAGCCACGAAAACACACACCTTAGTCTGCCTTAAAGAGAAGTGTGGATTTTTTTTTTAAAAAAAGCTTTTCTTCCTTCTAAAAAGTCCTCTCCTGAGTTCTGATTATCCCTCTCTTGCAGATAAACTCTTGAACCTCTCAAATCCTCGTGAACCTATCAAGTTTTCTTCTATTTTTTTTTTCCCCCCTTTGTTGGCAGCCAGGCAGATATATAAGAAGAGATCTACCGCTCAGCTAATAATAACCGCCTGCCATTTTTACTTGGACCAACGCCAGGGTCATTACTCAACCAGCCCTTCAGTTTCTCTCTCTGTGTGTGTGTGTGTGTTGTACTCTCGTGCATCCGTGCAAAGTCCCACTCACCTTAGAAACCTGACTGTTGAATCAACCCCAATGGAAAGGAAAATAATAGCAGGTTTGGCATTGCTTCAAACCCATCCGGGCAAAGATACCGGAGAATGTTTTTCTTCGAAGTTTGGAAATTAAACAAGAAGGCAGGACAAGGAACTAATGGGTGGAAACTAATCAAGGAAGGGAAGCAACCTGGAATTGAAGAAAAACTTCCTAACAGTGAGGACAATTAACCAGTGGAACAGCTTGCCACTAGAAGTTGTAGGTGCTCCCATCACTGGGAGGTTTTTAAGAAGAGATTGGACAGTCACTTGTCTGAAATGGTATAGGATGACTGGACTAGAAGACTCCTTCCAGGTCTATTCTGAGAAGGAAGGAAGGAAGGAAGGAAGGAAGGAAGGAAGGAAGGAAGGAAGGAAGATGATGATTATATATGATTATATATATTATATAATCATATATTATATTACATGATTATCATCATCATCCTCAACTTTGGGTAGGCTCATACCAGGGCTGAAATGCTCCCAGTTCGGACCAGATCACCCGATCCTGTAGCGATGGAGGCGGGTGGTTCGGAGAACCGGTAGCAAAAATCCCTGCCCCCCCACCCCCCATGTCCAGCTGAGCCGCACAATCATCAGAGGCTTTTTTTTTTTTTTTTTACTTTTAAAAGCATTTTTTCTACAACCTTTTCGGCCAAAAAATGTTTTTAAAAGTAAAAAAAAAAAAAAAAAGCCTCTGAGGATCGCGCGGCTCAGCTGGGATCGTCAAAGGCTTTTAAAAGAAAAAAAAACCCTTTTTTTTCTTTTAAATGCCTCTGACGATCCCAGCTGAGTTGCCTGATCGGCAGAGGCTTTTTTAAAAAGCCTCTTTTAAAGAGCCTTTTGAAAGCATTTTTTTTACCAAAGAGGTTGTAGAAAAAATGCTTTTAAAAGTTAAAAAAAAAAAATTGGCCACGCCCACCCAGTCACATTACTCCTCCCCCTCACCAAGCCACGCCCACAGAACCGGTAGTAACAAATTTTAGATTTCACCACTGGCTCATATGATGCTTTTCCCCAAATAGAACTACAAAAAATATGCCGAAAAAGATTGAGATTCTTGGGACAGGCTGGCGGGCAATTAGTCCTTTTTGCGATTAGTCCATCTTATTAGGAAAACGCGCTTTCACTTGGATGTGCTCGCATCGCTCGTGCCTCAGGGAGAGGCCGTAGAGAGGGGTCATGTTTACCGTCACCCCGTCAGGAACGCTGAACTCCAGGTCTTGTAGCAAAGTGGCCAAGAAAAGGAAGAGTTCCCACCGAGCGATGGGCTCGCCGATGCATCGCCGTTTCCCCATGCCGAATATCAGGACTTTCTCCCGTTCATCCGTGTTGATTTCTTTCCCGTTGGCGCTGAGAAAACGTTCGGGAATGAAGGCAGAGGGGTCTTTCCAAAGATTTCTACAAAGAGGATGCATGGAATGAAGGGTTGGGAATAAGGAGAATTTTTTCCTGACAGTGAGAACAATCAACCCATGGAACGGAAGTTGCCTTCAGAATTTGTGGGAGCTTCGTCACTGGAAGCTTTCGATAAGAGACGGGACTGCCCTTTGGTCGTCGGGGCTCTGCCACGCATACGCAGGGGGGGGACGCATGTGGGAGAGCATGCAAGCATGCATGGGGGTGGGTCATGTGCAGGGAATGTGTGTGCATGCCCAGGGTGTGTACAGGGGCCACACGCATATGTGTGGGGGTGAGGCACATGCATGGGGGGCACACACGTATTGCATTTTGGGGGTTCGGGCGCACGCTTTGGGCACTCGGTCCGGAAAAAGTTAGCAATCACTGACATAGGATAACAGTGTCAGCATTCTAACGCTGCCATAAAGAGGAGAAGAAGAGGCTTGACTTTTCACCTACTTATTTTCTCTGTAGATAATATCCCCTAGGAGATGGGATGGGAGGGGGGACATTCCTGTGGGTTGAAGTCAGGAGCTGGGGAGACTGACTTGGAAGATGGCCAATGAGACGCTGAGAATTGGGGAACGGAAAGGGAAGGCTTTGGGGTCAGAGGGTTAGTATCGGCTACGACGAAGTCGGGACCAGATTGTCGTACTCAATAAATGGAAGATTTCAGCAAAGATTAATTGTTTGGGAGTGCAATTTATTTGAGATGACATCGTAACCTGACAAACAGAGTCTTCTAGTCCAACCTTCTGCTCTAGCAGGAGACTCTGTACCAGTGATGGCTAACCTTTTTGCCATCGCGTGCCAAAAGCAGGGGGAGCGCGGGGGTCGTGTGCGCCTGCCCCCACCCATAATTCTATGCACCCCGCACCCCACACATGTGCACACGACCCCTCCTCCCACGCTCCCCACGCTTTTGGCACATGATGGCACGGTGGGCCTGGTAGGCCTGTTTTTCACCCTCCCCAGGCTCCAGAGCCTTTCTAGGAGGCTGGGGAGGGCAAAAACGGCCTTCCCTATCGCCCCAGAAGTCCTCCGGAGACCAGAAACAGCCCTTTTCCCGACTTACGGTGGGGCCAGAAGGCCTGAAAATCAGCTGGCCAGCGTGTACATGCGCACTGGAGCTGAGCTCGTGTGCCCATCCATATGGCTCCACGTGCCACCTGTGGCACGCATGCCATAGGTTTGCCATCACGGTTCTATGTTCTTAGTGGGGTGCTGAAGCTGGCCTTCTGGGCTGTCCTACGATTCCCCAACCTCCAGAATAACAGGACAAGAAGGAATGGGTGGAAACCAATCAAGGAGAGAAGCAACCTGGAATTAAGGAGAAACTTCCTAACAGGGAGGAGAGTTAACCAATGGAACAGCTTGCCACCAGAAGTTGTTGGTGCTTCATCACTGGAGGCTTTTAAGAAGAGAGTGGACAGTCACTTGTCTGAAATGGTCTAGGGTCTCCTGCTTGAGCAGGGGGTTGGACTAGAAGACCTCCAAGGTCCCTCCCAATTCTGTTGTTTTGTTATTTCTGTTATTCCATGAGAACTCGCTACTTACTCGTCATGGTTGACTTGCCACTGGTTGATAAAGACGCAGAGGTCCTTAGGAATGAAGTAGCCCTTGAAGGTGGTATCTCTCGTGGTGCTGAAAAGAAAACAAGAAAATAAAAAAAAATATATTTTTCAAAGCCAACAAAGAATCCACCCACCAAGCCACGCCCACAGAACTGTTAATAAAAAAAATTTGAATTCCACCACTGACTTGACGGATCAGACCAAGTTCAGGGACAAATTTCTCTTTGGAATTTGGGACTTACCAATGGGGAAGTGTGAACGGCACGAAGGTAGAGTGTCTGAACACTTCCAGGATGAAAGCTTCCGTGTAAGGGAGCAGGGAGCGATCGGACAATCGCGGCTTCCGTTCTCTGCCAATGGTGACATCTGCAAAGCAGGGAGTCAAAAAAATCAAAGCTCTCCCTTCTTTTGTGAGAAGACTTTATCTCTAAGGATGTAGAGGGCATGGGGAGTGACCTTGAAGGTTGGGATGAAGTGCCATTTGCTAAAGCAATGGTCAGATAAGAGGGGCTTGAGCCAAGAGGTGTGGGAGTCAGCATCAAGGCAACCTGAGAGCTCTGAGGGGGAAGAGGGAATGGAGCTGGCAGAGAGAGAGATAGAGGTGGAGCCTGGGCCGTCCGTCAGCCCTCAGATGGAGAGTCAACAGCCCTCAGGTCTGGAGGTGGCTGATGAGGAAGAGGAGGAACAGCTGGGTCCAGTGCCTGATGTGCAGAAGGCAGAGGAGAGGAGAGCAGTGGAAATCTATGGGCCGGTCCTTGGGACGGAAGAGCCACCGCTGCTAGCAAAGCCCCACCCTAGCTCTGGGGATAAAAGGCAGGGGGTGAAGATGAATAGATGTGGCAGACAATTATTCATCTCCCGGACAGACGGACTTCTTAACCTGCGTTGAAAGAGAAACTTTTTGCCGGGGCTGCCAGCGCTCCTAAGAAAGGAATCTTTTGAGTTCACGTCAGAGGGTTTGTCGTTTGGGGAGCTGGGTCACAACACCGTCTGTACATGTGACTTAAGTTGGGTTGTTTTGGTTCCCCCAAAGACTGAGCATAAGTGTGCAAACCCAGCCTTTTATTTTGTTCCGTGAACTGGAGTTGCAGGACAAATACATTCAAAAAAATAAATAAATGCATAAGAAAAAAATAACTCCTAGTTCCAGATTAGTTACCCCGGCAGAGAAAGAAAAATAACCCACCTATTTCTTCCTGGATCTTTTTCTGAATTTTGGGATAAGTGATGAGATACATAAGGGACCAGGACAAGCCGGTGGATACTGTGCTGAAACCTGTAACACACACACACACATACACAAAAAGAGGACACGGTGGGACCGAAATAACTCCATCTCGCTGTTGTGGTCCGCCAGCAGCCTGTGGAACTGGCAGCAGAGTCGGACAGCGATGAGGCTGAGGAAGAACAGGGGCCAGTCCTGGAGGCTGAGGAAGGCCCGGATGAGGGCTCTGCATCGGAGGCAGAGATGGGGCCAGGGCCATCGGGGCATGATGTGCAGCCTCCGGAGCCTCCAGAGGCTGACAGTAGAGAGGCAGAGGAACAGGAGGAGCCTGTTCCTAGTGCACACATACGCAGAGCTGCCAGAAGGCACGAACAGTTAAAACAAAAGGGACGACTCGGTAGTAAGGCCTGGAGATGATTGGCCCTTCCCATAAGGCTTAAAAGAGCAGCAATGGCTCTTGGGCTCTTTGTCGGAAAACAACGTTGATAGACTTGCTCTTGTCTTGCTGCACTTATCTCTGGTCGGCGTCTTCTGCTCCTGAACTTTTGCCAAGAGAAGCCTTTGGCAGTTTGCCTAATTATACCCAGGTTGGTGATTAGACTGAAGAATTTGTGTTATGAAGAATTTGTTTTAATTTAGTTTGGACTACGCTGAGAAGGAGTTAATTCTCAACTGTTCTAATAAAGTCTGTTTGTTTTGGAACTGTTTGCGTCTAATATTACCTACTTGGGCCTGGGTCACAACACTCGCCTCCTGACTTACACGGGGTCTCACCTCCAGGAGGGCTTTGGCCAGATGCTTCCACGAATTCCTTTTCTCGGGGGACAGAAGAGTGAAATTGCTCAAGATCCATCAAATCCAGAACAAGGTAAGGAATATGTGTAATTAAGGACTTTGATGGAGCCTGCTATCTCACAATAACCATTCAGAAGCCAGTGAAAAAATAAAGGCCTGTGGGAACGGCCTTGGGAGACAGGAGCCACAGATTGGACAAGTGGTATGTAAAAGGTATCTCAGCCAGAGGGGGGCTTTAAAAATTTTAGCAGGGGGTTCTCTGCCCGGTTGCTGGGTGGGTGTGGCCATGGTGGGCGTGACCTAGACAGCCTCCTGCACCACAGGGGGAGGGCATTTTTGCCTACCCTGGACTCCGGAGGCTTTTCTCGAGCCTCCGGGAGGGCAAAAATGGCCTCCCCAGGCTCCAGAGGTCCTCTGGAGGCTGGAAATGGGCCCATTTCCGGCCTTCCCGAATTTCCGGTAGGCCCCTCCCCGAGCCTCCATGTGCACCCTGCACTTACCTGCATCCAAAACAGGCCTCGTGGGGACTCCTCGGAGGGGTGGGGTGGGGTGGGCGAGCCAGGAGTGGGATTTGGGGGTTCTCCAAACTGCACAGAATCTTAGCTAGAGGTTCTCCCGAACCCCTGCAAACCCCCAGCAGCCCACCCCCTGATCTCAGCCCATAGAAGGAGACCCAGAGTAATAAGCATTTATTACGTTTATAAAAATGGAGATTGAATGACCCCCGGGACACAGCAACAGTCATAAGTATGAACCAGTTGCCAAGCGTCTGAATTTTGATGACGTGCTCGTAAGGATGCTGCAATATGTGAAAAATAAATCACTTTTTCCAGGGCCATTGTAACTTTGATCAGTCACTCAATGAACTGTTGTAAACCGAGGACTACCTGCCCTTCTCCCCCGGGGTTCGCTTTTGATTAGACCCTCAGGTGAAGAAGACCTTACCTGCCCCAAAAATATCATTGACCAGATTCACAATTTTTTCAGTGGGGACCTGAGTTTTCAATTTGGCGTCTGCTTTCTGTTTTTGGCTTTCCTCGATCAGCGAATCGGTGATATCGCGGATGTGATCCTGAAAGGAAACATCAAGGAAAGTTGTGCTGACTTTACAATAATACCACTTATTATAGAGGCGACTTCAAGAACTGTCAGCCTTTTTGTATTTTTAGGAAGCCCAGCTTGAGAGAAATTGAAGACAACAACTGTTTTCATCGAGTCCCATTGATGTTCCATCAGATTTAGGCCGGATTTTGTATTAGGAAAATAGCAGATAGATTTCATGATAAGGGGGGGTGGGGAGAGATGAAGTTATCAAATACCAAAAATGTCAAAATTTGTAGACCTGAAAGAGTGAAAATATCATGTTGTAGGAAGCCGCCCCCCTCTCCTAGAAGAATGAAATACTTTGGGAAATGTTAAAAATCCCAAATGCCTTTTTAACATTTCCCCTACATGAGAAATGGAGGGGGGAAAATCTTAAGGGAGGCAGAAACCAGCCCCAGTTTCCCTGCCCCGAGCAGAAACTGAGGAGGCCAGCTTTTAGAAATGCAGATTTGGTAATCCGTTCAGAAACGACTGGGTCAGACAGAAACCTCAGATAAGCAACAAGCCAAAGGTTGACAAGATTAGCTCAGGCAAACACCTAGGATTTGCATTTTCCCCTTGTGCCTATAGAGCCAGCCATGACCTCTACATGACCCCATACGAATCCGGAAGGTATAAAAACCCACCCACTCACTCTCAACACCATTTTGTCAGCTGTCCCAGAATCACATGTGGTTGATGGTTCTGCTTCATCGATAAAGGGAACCTTTCTTTCCAATCAGTGTTGTGGTCCGCCAGCAGCCTGCGGAGCTGGCAGCAGAGTCGGACAGTGAGGAGGCTGGGGAGGAACATGGGCCAGTCCTGGAGTCTGGGGAAGGCTCGGACGAGGGCTCTGCGTTGGAGGCAGAGAGAGGCTCCCCCTGTTCCTCTGCCATCTGGGAGGTACATGCTGCATCTGGAGCCTCCAGAGTCGGACCTCAGCGAGGCAGAGGAACAGGGGGAGCCTCTTCCCAGTGCGCGCATGCGCAGAGCTGCCAGAAGGCAAGAACAGTTCAAACAAAAGGGACGACTCGGGAGTAAGGCCTGGAGATGATTGGCCCCTCCCATAAGACTTAAAAAGAGACGTGGGCCTTTGCAGGAAGCAACCTTGTTAATTCTGTGCAGTTTAAAGCCTGAAGCTCTGTTTGATTCTGGACTCCCTGTGGCTTTGCCCATTAGGTCTTTGGCAGCGTGTCAAGGGAGATAAAAGTGGGTGATTATCAGCCTTATCCCGAAGGACTCTATTTGGGACTCATCTTTTGTGAATGAACAGAATTCACAGCTGTTAAAATAAAAGAGGTTTTTGGGACTACTCGTGTGTTTTACTGACTCAGGGGGCCTAGGTCAGAGCAATCAGCCTCCAGCCTCCATTTTATTTCCAGCGTCTTTCTCTCGGCTTGGACCTGGACCTGGATATTTCTCCCAACACTGCCTTACCTTCCGGAAGCTCTCGTAATGCTCTTGCACGCTCTTCTTCAGGAAGCGATTGAATTCCTGATTGTAGTTCTTAAACTTTTTCATGTTGCTGTTGGGAATATACTGAAGAAAAGGGATGAAGGTGGCTAGACTTCCCGAGCCCGTGCCTTCCACAAACTGTTCGCTGTTGGCCACAATGTGGAGCAGTTCTTCGTCATCGTAGTCGTAACGCTTGCCGAAACACATGGCCAAAACCACGTTGGCCACGGCGACCATCAAGTACAGATAGGGATCCAGGCGGTTCTTTGCAAGCATGACCTCCTGGAGCTTGGCCATCAGATGGTGGGCCTCCTTGGAGACGTGGTCTTCCAAGAGGCAGGTGGAGAAGGAGGTGAGGCTGGGTGAAGAAGCGAAGGTTTTCAGGGCGTGTTGAGCTAGCTTGCGACGAGCGTGCCACACCGGTCCAGAATCCGTGCCGAAAGCCATACTCTGCCCATCGGTCACATGGCGGAAGATGTAAAGGTCTGGACGTCCCTTGAAGTCTTCTCCGTGTCTCACGAGGGCTTCCTTGATGGTCTCCAGCCCACTCAGCACCAAGACTGGCTTTGTCCCGATGTGGATCATCATGACATCTCCGTAGGTCTTGCTCATCTGACTCAAACTGAGATGGACATTGGTCCCCAGCTCCAGTATGTTGCCAATCAAGGGGTAGCCCCGTGGCCCAGGGATTCTTTTGGAGCCCTGCGGGATCTGTTTCTGGAAGGTCTGGAGGACAAGGAAGAGCAGGCAGAAAACTGCCAGGCCAATCAGGACCTCGGTAGCCGAAATCGATACCAGGATCCCCCGGAGCCACATGGCAAAGCTGGATAAAGGTTTGTCTTCAAAACGTTTACTGAAATGAGAGGAAAGATAGGACAGGCGGTAGAAATAGGAAGGCAAAAATCAGTAGAGGGAGTCCTTGATTTATGACCAGAACTGGGCTCAGAATTTTCGTTGCTAAGCAAGGCGGTTGTTAAGTGAGTCCTGCCCAATTTTATAATCATGTTTGCCACAGCTGTTAAGCAAATCACTGCAGTTCTTAAATGAATCACATGATTGTTAAGCAAATCTGGCTCTCCCTGTTGATTTTTCTTTTTTCTTCCTTCCTTCCCTCCCTTCCTCCCTCCCTCATGTTTCCTTCCTCCCTCCCTCCTTTCCTCCCTCCCTCATGTTTCCTTCCTCTTCATTCCCTCCTCCTTCCCTCTTTTTCAAGGTCCTTCCTCCTTTCTCTCCTCCCTCCGGATGTCCCCCTCCCTTTCCTGTGGGCCTTCCTTTCCTCCCTCCCCCTTCCTCTTCTCCTTCCTCCCTCCCTCCTTTCCTCCCTCCCTCATGTTTCCTTCCTTTCTTCCTCTTCTTCCCTTCCTTCTCTTCCTTCCTTCCTTCCATCCTTCCTTCTTTCACTCCTCCCTCCCCAACCCTCCCTCCCTCATATTTCCTTCCTCCCTCTCCCTCCCTCCATCATGTTTGTTTCCTTCCTTCCTCCCTCCTTCCCTCCCTCCCTCCCTCCCTCCCTCATGTTTCCTTCGTCCCTCCTTCGTCCCTCCTCCCTCCCTCCTTCATGTTTCCTTCGTCCCTCCTTCGTCCCTCCTTCATGTTTCCTTCCTTCTTCCCTCCCTCCTTCCTTCCCTCCCTCCCTCGTTTTCTTCCTCCCTCCTTCCTCCCTCCTTCATGTTTCCTTCCTTCTTCCCTCCCTCCTTCCTTCCCTCCCTCCCTCATGTTTCCTTCCTTCCTCCCTCCCTCCCTCCTTCCCTCATGTTTCCTTCCTCCCTTCCTCTCTCCTTTCCTCCCTCCCTCATGTTTCCTTCTTTCCTTCCTCCTCTTCCTCCCTCCCTCCCTCCTTTGCATAATAAATACCTGGTAAAATCAGGAAGAATAAGAACGAGGGATGAGGCCAACGAAGTCTACAAGTAAAAGTTGTTGTCCAAATGTCTTTAGCTCTTTCTCTTGCCAGCCGCTGGCTACCTTATGAGAAGGTTGTCCCGTGTTCTCCTATCTGGGAAATGATTATTTAACCCACAAACCCTCCAAGTTCAGCTGGAGAAAATCCAAGGAAAATATTGCATCCCACGGCGCTGGGCTAAAACCAGATAATGTGCTTCTTGATTACCAAGATCGTCCCAGATTTTGCTGGTACTGAAGGAGGCTGGAGTTCTCTTTTGCATTCAACCAGTGTTTAAACCTGGCTTATTTAATAAACTCCAGCTGGTTGGGTTTGCACAATACGTTAATCCGTACGCCCTTATTCCTGAGCCAAAAGCAAACAAATAAATTGAATAAGTCAATAAATAAAACAAAACTAGGCCCAAGATGGTTCACAGTGCTTTGAGAACTTGTCAACTCTTCAAAAGGTAGACCAGACTAGGGGGTACCCAAATCATGCTAACCAGGAGTGGGCTGTTGGGGGTTCGCAGGGGTTCGGGAGAACCTCTAGCTAAGATTCTGTGCAGTTCGGAGAACCTCCAAATCCCACTCCTGGCTGGCCCCGCCCACCCCGCCCCTCCCAGGAGTCCCCACACGGCCCATTTTGGATGCAGGTAAGTGCAGGGTGAGCACGGAAGCTCGGGGTCAGGCCTACCAGAAGTTTGGGCAGGCCGGAAATGGGGCCGTTTCTGGCCTCCAAAAGGCCTCCGGAGCCTGGGGAGGCCGTTTTCACCCTCCCGGAAGCTCGAGGAAAGCCTCTGGAGTCCGGGGAGGGCAAAAACACCCCTCCACTGTGGTGCAGGAGGATGACTAGGCCACGCCCATCATGGCCATGCCCACCCAGCAACCAGGCAGAGAACCCCTTGCTAAAATTTTTGAAGCCCACCCCTGATGCTAACTAATACTTATGTTTATTATAAGGTTATAGTAACAGAAGCTTGCATGTCTGAATGGTCTTCCCCTCTCTTTCTCTTTCTCTTTGTGAGAATTGGCTGAGTGGGTTCTCTTTTGAGATGCGTTCTCATATTATGTTTCTGCTTTGGGCACAGATTTCTTTTATTTGGCCAATGTCTTAGTAGCTTCTTTTTCTCCTGTCCCTCAAGGTTCTTCCTTCTACCCATCACAGAACCGGGCCAGAGCGAGCGACCATCAATAAAGTATTTGATGACTTCTGCTTCCAGCCAGCCAGGCGATGGTCATCTTTCAAGGAAACTCAAAGAGAACTAAGCTAGTTCAGCTGCTGAAACGGAAAACTGTCTCTTCTTAAGGATTCCGGCGAACGAAAATGAACTGTCTAATAGTAGAACCGGTTCCTGTTATGTGTTGTGGCCCTCCAGGTGCCAGCGGAGCTGGCGGCAAACTCGGACGATGAGGAGGAAGAACAGCTGGGGCCTGTTCCAGATGCACGTATGCGCAGAGCAGTTAGGAGAGGTTGTACAACGGAGGACAAGGAGTCGACTCTGGAAGCAAAGCACACGTGGACGCTGAATGGGCCCCTCCCTGGCTGGGGAATAAATAGAAGGAAAGGGGAGTGGTGGTCGTAGGAGACAACCATTCGTATTTCTGGAGATTCTGCTCATTGCTTTTCGTGCCACAAAGACTGCTTGCCAGAACTTAATTTGCAACCTTTCGGATGGGAGCTCACGGCCTTGCAATTATCATTATCGCAAGGAACTGATAAGGTCTGTTATTGCAGTTAACTCCTTGAAGAACTATTGCCTGGACTTTTCGGTGGGTGAATGCAATTAATTCACAAGAGGTAAATAAAGAGGGTGTTTTTTTTTTGTGACAAGGAGTCCGTTTCTTGCTTCTGCTAAGGCTGAGTCAGAACATTATGTTACTGGAGAACCATTCCCCCTCCCCCCCACCCACCCATAATTCCATGGTGAGGAGAACAGGGTGATCTTGGTGGAACATTGGGGTGATGAATTCATCCCTTGGTCGAAAAAGGACAGGATCTCCTGACCAGGCAGGATAAAATCAAGTTAAAGATTAGCCAACTTTGCGTGAGAAGCCCTAGACAGCAGCTTCGTGCCACTTTTCAGAGCCAAGAGAGAAAACAAACAGGGATAAAGGGAAAGAAAAGTTCAAGGTATCTGAAATTGGGCTGTGACGAATACCCCGAAGGAGGAATTTGCTTTTCTGAAGGGGCTCACTGAATAACCAGAGCTTTTCAGAGCCTTCATTGAAGTCCCTCACCATTATTATCCCAGTGGCCTGGATCAGTGGTGAAATCCAAATTTTTTTACTACCGGTTCTGTGGGCGTGGCTTGGTGGGCATGGCAGGGGAAGGGATACTGCAAAATCCCCATTCCCTCCCCACTTTTGGGGGAAGGATATTGCAAAATCTCCATTTCCACCCCGCTCTGGGGCCAGCCAGAGGTGGTATTTGCCAGTTCTCCAAACAACTCAAAATTTCCGCTACCGGTTCTCCGAACTATTCAAAATTTCTGCTACCGGTTCTCTGAACAACTCAGAATTTCCGCTACCGGTTCTCCAAACTATTCAAAATTTCTGCTACCGGTTCTCTGAACAACTCAGAATTTCCGCTACCGGTTCTCTAGAACCTGTAAGAACCTGCTGGATTTCACCCCTGGCTTGGAGCAACGTAACTGATTTCCTCTATTGTTTTGGCCTACTGAACTCATCTCACAAGTTGAAGAAATGGAAAACTGCGAAATATTGAAATCTACTTTTCATAACAATTCTATGCTGCGATTCATTTGATTGACTTGAATGAACAAGTCAACATTTTTTTTTGCTAAGTTAGTCGTAATTTTAAATGCATCCCAACTAAACACCAAAAGAAGCTATATTGACGTGGATAAACTGCAAATTTCACTTGGCTGTTTTATAATTCCTACTTTGTTCCTATACCGTACACTTGACCAAATAAATTGTAGCAACTTAATATAATTTGAAGGGACATGGTAGCTCAGTGGCTAAAACGCTGAGCTTGTCGATTGAAAGGTCGGCAGTTCAGCGGTTCGAATCCCTAGTGCTGCGTAGAGGGGTGAGCTCCCGTTCCTTGTCCCAGCTTCTGCCAACCTAGTAGTTCGAAAACACGTAAAAAATGCAAGTAGAAAAATAGGGACCACCTCTGGTGGGAAGGTAACAGCGTTCCATGCGCCTTTGGCGTTGAGTCATGCCGGCCACATGACCACGGAGACGTCTTTGGACAGCGTTGGCTCTTCGGCTTTGAAACGGAGATGAGCACCGCCACCTAGAGTTGGGAACGACTAGCACATATGTGCAAGGGGAACCTTTACCTTTACCTTTTATAATCTTACAACTATTGATCAGGGAGAATCTGTTTCGTGTTTGGAAAGAAGAGCCATCAAGGCCAGCAGTCTACAAACCTTAAAGTTGGTAGTTGAAGTCCACAAGTCTTAACGTTGCCAAGATTGGACACGCCGACTTTAGATCAAATTGAGAAGTTGGAGAAGAAATAATTGTAGGAGAAGGCAGTGGCTATCCATTTCTGTTCTCGTGCCAAAGGAAACTCTACAAACATTTGCCAGAAGCTGAGCTTGGCTGGAGAGAAATCTTACCTTTATCTTGTACAAATAGTAACCGTAGAAGTTTATTATTCAGAAGCCTCTCTGTTAAATCTTTTATCAACAAAGGAAATTCTAAGACACTTAAGGCTGCGAGCCAAAACGGAGATGTCAAAAGTTGTTTTGACTGAAGATGTTGTCAAATAATGTTTATATTCTAACCTCCTGAAATGCTGGGAGGAGAAGAGCTGGTGAACAAAATCTTCTTTGATCTCAGGAGGTTTTTTTTTTTTTTTTAATTTGATTTATATGCCGCCCTTCTCCGAAGACTCAGGGCGGCTTACAATGTGCTCAGCAATAGCCTTCATCCTTTTGTATATTTATACAAAGTCAGCTTATTGCCCCCACAAACTGGGTCCTCATTTCACCTACCTTAGAAAGGATGGAAGGCTGAGTCAACCTTGAGCCTTGGCGAGATTCGAACCCTGCAGTAATTGCAGGCAGCTGGTCTTAATAACCAGCTTAATAACAGGGTGCCTTAAACCCCTGTACTACCAAGGCTCTTTTGAACTGGACACTGTGTTTTAAAGGTGGCTACCGTCCCAATTTTTCCCCAGCTGCTGGTTTTTCAAGCATTCAAAGACCCCTGTTCCCACCAGCCTCAAGAATTGTGGCTAATGATTAAAGAGGAAGCGTGGTCCAGTAGACGAGACATTTTTGGAAAGCCAAAGACTCGGGGATTGTGGGCCTGAGATGGAAAAACCCACTTCAGTTTAGCAGGGAAAGAGGCAAGAGAAAAGGGGAAATACAGTACAGGTAATCCTTGACTTACAATAGTACATTGAGGGACCGTTCAAAGTTACAATGGCACCAGGAGTGAAATCCAGCAGGTTCTGACAGGTTCTGGAGAACCGGTAGCGGAAATTTTGAGCAGTTCGGAGACCCGGAAAATACCACCTCTGGCTGGCCCCAGAGTGGGTTGGGAATGGAGATTTTGCAATATCCTTCCCCCTGGAGTGGGGAGGGAATGGAGATTTTGCAGTATCCTTCCCCTGCCATGCCCACAAGCCACGCCCACTAAGCCACGCCCACAGAACTGGTAGTAAAAAAAATTGGATTTCACCACTGAAAAAAAGGGACAAGACTATTTTTCACACTTTCACACTTTTACAACTGTTGCAGCACCCCCCTGGTCACGCGATCAAAATTCAGACTTAAATTCATATTTATGACGGTCGCATAAAGTGTCCCGGGGGAGGGGGGGTCACGCGATCCCCTCTTGCGACCGTCTGACAAGCAAAGTGAATTTGGGAAGCCAAATTCACTTAACAAGTGTATTACTACTTTAACAAGTGCAGGGATTCACTTAACAACGGTGGCACGGAAGGTCGTAAAATGAGGGGCAAAGTTCACTTAACAAGCGTCTCACTTATCAACAGAAATTCTGGGCTCAATTGTGGTCGTAAATCGAGGGATTACCTGTATAAGAAAGAAATTGTTGGTATGCCATTTGATAGAGTAGGGGTCGGCAACCTTAAACATTCAAGGAGCCACAAAAGTCCTAACCAGAAGCCCCCCCATTCAATTTTGGAGCCGACCGGAAGTCCGGTTCCCCCACCATAGAGTCTCCTCCTAGCACGGCGCCCCTTTTCCTCTACCTGTCCTAACCGAAAGCCCTATC